AGGATGTCTGGACTTCAACTCCCAGAATTCTGGGAGTTGAAGTCCAGACATCCTAAAGTTTCTAAGGTGGAGAAACACTGGGCTTTGCAGTAATAACAGAATCATGCAAGTCTGACTGTGCTTTCCTCCCCCCCTCCCCCCGCTTACTCATGTGAATTAGAGAGGTGTCTGCCTGATTCGCTTCTGCTTACTTTCTCCTTGCTTCGGACTTACGACATGTTTTTCCCCTGGTCGCTTTGGCCTATCTCTGCTCTGCCAAGATCATCTTCCTTACTCTGTCCACTGACCCTCCTCTGCTCACCGTGCTGTCCAGTCCGAGGGTGATCAACATCAGGAAGAAAATGATGGCAAAGAAGGTGGATGCCGGCATGTTCGCGATGGCCTCTGCATAGGTGATGAAGAGCAGGCTGGGTCCTGTTCAATAATCAGAGAGAGAAAGGGGTCACACCGGCTCCCTCCTGCCCTTCAGCATGCCCCCTTCTCCTCCTCCATCCTCCAGACTTCATTTCTCTCTTGTCCTTCCAAGGCAGACCAAGATGCTCAAGGAGCTGGTGGTGGATGGTGGGAACGATAACCTGTCTGGAGGACGCCAGCCGAAAGCTGCATCGGTCGATGCACAGCTGTGCCATAGTATGCAGAAGGGAAATGTTGGCACCAGGATGCCCCCCACGCCCGTGTCTCTCTTTGGCCTCTGCCTGCTTTTGGACCTGGAAATGGAGGACAGCCCATCCTCCAGAGGGGAGGCAGAATGCACGGGGAGGAGGAGGCTCAGCGCCTCTTGGCGTTCCCCCCTCCCCAGGGGTTGCCTCACAGGCCCCCCCAAAGGCAACGCTTCTCTAAAGAGTGGTTAACCAGCGCTAGGCGAGTGCTTCCACCGCTCCCAGTCAGGTTTCCCCCTTCAAATCCAGCTTGCTTCAGGGTTCGACTCGAAAGGTGGACGGGCAGACATCTTTCTAAAGGAAGGTTGGCCTTGTGCCGAAGGGTCGACGTCCAACCATCTTATTTTCCAGGAGCGGAACCGTCTGTGTGCGTGTTGAAGAAGTCCAGATGGCAACTACAAAGCCCCACCCCCTGCAGGTGCCATCTTGACTCTTTTGACCTCCCTCTGCAGAGGCCCCTGCCAAGGAAGCCTCTGGCCTTTACTTCGGTCCCGCGGGTGTTTGGAGCAAAGAAAACGGTTCGCTTGGAAGAATAACGTTGAACAGGTCAGCCTTCTGCGTATCGGTGTTTGGTGCCCAGCCACCCCTCCAGCAGTCACTTCGTGAAAAATCACCCCCTTCCGCTGCAGCCCTTTTGTGAGCGTGCCCACAATAGGATCTCTGGGTTCCAATGGCGCTCCTGGCTGAAAGCCATCAGATTCAACAGGAAGGGATCCAGTCTGATTTCTCAGCACAGGGGATTCCACAGCCTGAGCATTTGTTGCAGTCAAGTGTCCCCCAGGGACCCACTCGCAGTACCTTTGCATGGTGTAGATACACTGGATGGATGGATGGATGGATGGAAGGAAGGAAGGAAGGAAGGAAGGAAGGAAGGAAGGAAGGAAGGAAGGAAGGTTGGTTGGTCGGTCTGGAGTTTAAGATGTATGGATGGAAGGCAGGCAGGCAGGAAGGAAGGAAACGGAGATGATCCAGCTCTGTATTGGGGGCCTTCAGCACCCAGCCAAGACGCCTGGCCAAGAAGAGTCTTGTAAGAAGAAGAGCCTGTTCTACAAATTACCTGGTTTTAATTTGTTTCACACTTTAAAACTAAAAGCCAACGTTTTAAATTGTTCTCAATACGATCGGGCTCTAGGACAGCAGTCGCTACAATGCAGCCGCATATTCCTCAATTTTTTTTATTATTATTTTTAGTTTAGACATAGATACCCCACCCTTGACCAAATTCCCAGGGTGGATGACATCATCAAGCTACAATAAACAATTAAATACAATAAAATCTAAACTGGCTGTGGTTGAAAGCCTAGCTGACGCATTTTGGACCAGCAGAAGTTTCCAAATACTCTGTAATGCCAGCCCCATTCAGAGAACACGTTGGTGTGATCCAGCAGCTGTGACCAGTGAAGGTGGCCAACGTGGCCAGGGGTTGCACGGTCGCCAGCCAAAGCATGCTCACAGCCAAGCTGTTTCGCAGGATGACCCTGCGGGGGCCTGCAAAAAGGTTGTGGCTGCAAGCTTGTCTTGGATCTTGTGAACCAGGATGAAAGCTGGGTTGGGATGGTCCCATAAAATGAAGAGCAGTGATTTACTGCTGACAATCTTCAGCCTTCTGCCAGCCACATCCTCTTCAAGGAGAACCTTGAGTGTTTAGGGACAAAAGGTCACAGTTTCAACACTGTCCCTACCCTTGCAGATGCAGGAGACTGAGATCTGGAAGGACCCCAGATCTGGAAGCTGATCCCAGAAGGCATTTCCTAGGTTCTAAGCCACCATTCCCCCATCTGACGCCCCCCAGATAATTTCGTTTACAATTCCCAGAGTCTCTGTTCAGCACAGCCAGTATTTGGGAAAGGGTCGGTGGGGGTATAACTTCTGCCTCCATCATTCCAAACTGAAGGTTGGAAGTTTGCCTTGAAGATGCTGAAGCTGAAAGATTGCCCCCCTTTCCCTCAGACTACCTGTCTCATCATTCTGTTGGGAGCTAAGCAACTTTGCTGGATGTTGGGTCTGAACCCATCTCTCCCGTTCACCACTGCCTCCACACATAGAGACACACACTCAAAACAGAGAACTGATCTCTTTTGATGTCCTTCTTAGCATCCTTTGCAGACCTCTGTCAGTTGACAACATTGTCAAGCTGGTTGCGTAATATCATCTCCCATCTTACAGATACTGAGAAGAACCCAGTTCTGTTGCCACTGGAAGATGTTCCACAGGAATTTTAGGAACCTCATTAGACTGGTGAACTCCTGGTTGGCTAAGGCTGCCCAGGAAACTTCCATCCAGTGTCCACCTCCCTTTTTAAGGGAAGGTTGTGAAGAAGGTGGCCATGCAGCAGCTTCAGCGGACCCTGGATGAAGCAGCTTATCTGGACCCGTTTCAGTCAGGATTCAGGCCTGGACATGGGACGGAAACGCCACTGGTCACACTTTTGGATGATCTGTGGTGGGAGCAGGATGGGGGTAGTGCATCCATCCTGGCTCTTCTTGACCTCTCGGCAGCTTTCAGTACCATCGGTCATGGTATCCTTCTGAATCAGCTCAGAGGATTTGGGGTGGGCGGCATGATGTTGTGTGGGTTCTCTTCCTTCCTATGGGGCCAGTACCAGTTGGTGTTGATTGAGAGTGAGAGGTCCCACCCACACCCCCTACTATGTGGTGTTCCGCAGGGTTCGGTACTCTTTCTGCTCCTGTTTAACATCTACATGAAACTGCTGGGTGAGATCGTCCATCACCATGGGGTGACGTATCATCAGTATTGGATGATACCCAATTATACATCTCCGGCAAACTAAGCGATGCTGTTGACGTCTTGTCTTGGTGCCTGGAGGCTGTGGGGGTCTGGATGGGGAACAACAGGCTTCAACTGAACCCTGGCAAGACTGAGTAGCTCTGAGTCTTAGGCCTGCCAGATCTGAGACTTTACCATCTTTGGTACTGAATGGGGTGGCACTGCCCCAAACGGACCCAGTGTGCAATCTGGGGGTCCTCCTGGACTCACGACTCCTGCTTGAGGAGCAGGTGGCAGCTGTGCCTAGGGGGGCCTTTGTGTAACTTTGTGTTATGTGACAGTTGCACCCATTCCTGGACTGTGAGGCTCTGCTCACAGTTACTCATGCCCTGGTCACCTCCTGAATGGGACTACTGTAACACACTCTACATGGGGCTGCCCTTAAAGAGTGTCTGGAAGCTTCAGCTGGTGCAAAATGCAATGGTATGGGCAGTTATGTGTGACTGTAATGGTAGGTGGGAATGACCTTGGGAGGCAGGATGAAGAGATGCTGCCTAGGGAAGAGTCAGGTAAGAGACAGCATAGCCCACTGCTGCACAGTGGGCAGGGCAAGAGGCTCAGAAGGGACCCTCCCTAAATTCTCAGGCTGTAAAGGAGACGGCGGGAGAATTGGACTTTCAGACTTGCACAATTCTGTTAATGTAGCCTCACAATCAAGTAGAATGAGTTCATCTGGTTGCGTTTCCTGTCTGGTCTTCCTGGTAAGGTTGACAGTGCCCGTAGGAGGACACACATCACACCTCTGCTCCATGAGCTGCCTAGGTTTGCTTCTGGGTACAATTCGAGATGTTTGTTTTGACCTTTAAAGCCCTACATGGCATGGGCCAGGTTATCCAAGGGACCGCCTCTTCCCTATTCCATCTGCCCGTCCCATCAACTCTGGCAGGAGAGACATGCCGCAAGTCCCATCTGCTAAGGAGTTCCATCTGGATTCCATCTGATAAATAAATAGATAAACCTTTCTGGCAGGTGAGGCCTGATGTCCACGTATCCCAGGTCTGATTGGAAGTGATCCTCTAGGAACACCAACACAGCCTCTTTCTCGGAACCGAACCCCTGAAACTTTCCTAACCAGAGAATTAGAAATGGATTATCGTAGGACCTTCTGCGTAGGAAGCCCTAAGCTTCCCCAGTAGTTTCTGCTTCCTGAATCCATCTCTCCCTCTGCCAATTTCTTCTGCATCCTGAGATGGAGGGATGTCTAGGGGCCCAGGAGCTTTAAGAGGACAAGCATGAGAGATTCTTGGCCAACAGTGTCTCCCAGGAAACATTACAAGAAAATAAAACAAAGAGGACATTACCAGTATCTTTGGCGACCTCTGACACAGGTTCCTTCCTCATCTCAGCCATGTAGCCGAGCACAGTGAAGATGACAAATCCTGCCACGAAACTCGTCAGGCAATTGACCGCGCTGGTGACCAGAGCGTCCCTGCAACGAGATCCAAAGCCCTTCAGGATCAGAGGGTGCAGGCGACTGATCCCCCGTGGCCTCTTCTGCTCTCCAGCTCAAGGAAGAGAGGGGCAAGAGGAGCAGAAGGGACGTTGGGCGGTCCAGGCGAGCTGGGGATGTGAGGTTGAACCAAGGGGGCTGCCAGGCAAACCGGGCTGGGGATGAAATGAAGGACGTTGGGTATGAAAGGCTGGTGCCCTATGCCACCCCACTGTAGCCTCTCCTCTAAGAGCACAGGAGCTTTAGTTCAGCAGAAGAGACTTCTCTTGCCAGACAGGCAGTTGCCTTTTAGGGTTCTCCCCTTTCAAATCAGAGTCACATTTGGGAAATGGGCGGCTGTATGAATTTGATAAATAATCTCAAATCCCACCTATCCCATTATTAAAGGACATGGATCCCACCAGGGGCATCCATAGGGGTGGTTTAAAAAGTCAAGAGGGTGGCTGTGACTGTGCAGTCAAAGCCCCCCTCCCAGGTTCTTTGTCCATTCCTGCCTCCCTCCATAATACAAAGTCCCCTTTTTGAGAGCTGTTTATAGGTTTTCCGAGAAGGGCATTTAAAATAACCTTGAGTTATTACACTTATTAGCTGATAACAAGTTTAAAGACTTATGGCAAATTAACATTTCAGTGGCTTGGCCTGTGTCTCCTCTGGAGTACTTCTGCGTGCCACTTGTGCTGCACAGCCTAGGCCAGTGGAGGCACCGCTCTCGGGTGTTGAGCAGCAACCTCTCTTTAAATGTACCCAGGGCTGAACTGGGACCTCCTGTGATGGAATGTATCTACGGGGAGGAGGAAAGCGATGTGGGGGATAGAAGCAGAGATCAAGGCTATCAGGAAGGAGGGGGCGCACTCCAGCAGGGGAAAGGAGACAAAAGACAACGCAGTCCGTAGGAGGAGCATGGGAAGAGTAAGAGGTTCAGGGTAGCCGCTCCCTAGAATCTCCCAGGGTGTATCCACTAGTTGCAGTAGCATAGATTTAGTCTGGCAAGGCTCTGTCTCTATGGTGTAAGCCAGTGTTGTCCAAACTTGGCCACTTTAAGATGAGTGGACTTCAACTCCCAGAATTCC